ACTGATCAATTGGATATAGGGGCTGGAGAGGAGGAGGGATTCCAGAATGTTTGTTTGGGCTGAAACAACAAAATATCACAGACTGGGTGGCTTATAAACAGCAGGAATTTATTATTCACAGTTCTGGAGGCTGACAAGTCCAAGATGAAAGTGCTAGCATATTCAGTGTCTGGTGAGTGCCTGGTTCCCAGTTCATGGACAGCACTTTCTTGCTGTGTCCCCACATGGTGAAAAGGCAAGAGCTCTCTCTGTGGCCTCTTTTATAAGGGCACTAATCCTATTCATGAGGGCTCCACCCTCATGACCTAATCACCTCCTAAGGGCCCCACCTCCAAATACCATCATATTTGGAATTAGATTTGAACATATGAATTTTGGGGGTAAACAAATATTTGATGCATAGCACAGGACAACTTAGAATTTTAAATTAAAATATTGCCAATATTCCCAACCTTGCAATTTCTCTCGAATTCCCTTTCCGCATTCCCTTTCCTTTTCTTATAATGTAAAGAAAGCCATAAGGCCAGAACAGTGGCTTCAGAATTTGTCTCCATTAGCTAGAGACTTTGACAAATAATAGATGTTGTCACTGTATTAGATATTTTAAAATAAGGTTTATTTTAATAGTGTTTCAATGTATAATCAAGTGCCTTTAAATTCTGTACACAAGGACAAGAAGACTTACTTGGCTGAAAATCAGGAAAATGACACCAATTTGGAGGGAGAACAAAGTAAAAGGTACAATGTGAGAAGGAAAATAGAGAGGAAGGGCTGTTGGTAACGTCTTAGTGCTATTGAGTGGATGCTAATCTCCTGTGAATGATCAGTATGCAGACATTATCTAACAACTGCTCTTAATAAATAACATTTCTGATGAGCCTGATGTTCCAAATCCCTTTGGCTTCTCTGTACTTCACCATATTTTACCATGATTGGAAAGCTGTTCAATCTGAAAGTAGCATATTCCCTGGATGTTTAGATAGACAAATAAAAAGAGAAACGAAGAAATGAAATTAAATGGAAATAAAATAGAAATGAAAAGTGTCTCATCTTATCCTTATATAGTAATAATTGTAATGTACATTTGTAACACCTTACCATCTTCACTTTCTTAATATATATTTATGATACGACTGAGAAGGCAAGGTCATCCTCCTTACTTTACAGATAAAGGAAGTGAGTCCCTGAACATCTAGGTAACGTCTAAGATTTTACAATTTATGAGTGGCGTGTCCTTATCTTGACCTTTGGTTTCTTAACTCTTATTCAGGGTTTCTTATTTCAGTGTGGTTTTTTTATTGGGGGGGGGGGTGCGTGGCAAAAAGAAGGATTAGTAGAGAAAGACGCTGTCCTTTTCTAAGCTGGTTGCTTCTCCTATACTCCATCTCACACACCTGAAACTCAATGGCAGTGGTGAGAACTATGGTACATAGTGAGTTTGACCAAATTCCAACACCATCAGACTCTGCATAAATTTTCAGCAGGTGCAGGTTGCTGTCACCACTTCTCTCCTCCATTGTCCCTGACTGTCCAAGTCTTTGACATACATTAGTTTACTATTTAAATATTTAGTTGGTCACTGGGGTGGTTTCACATACTGATTCTTCTGGCACTTGGAAAGTGATGATGACAGTGAAGAAAAGCTGGAACAAGAACTTAACAATGTGTGCCTTTTGTCAAGAGTTGTAAGCATGAAGTCATAACGGAAAAGCAGACCCACTCATTCCCCATCTCCATCATTTCTCACCTGTCGCATTAGTGAGTCACCTCTATGACACTTCTTTGAGTCCCAGTCTGGCTTTGGCTTGTCCAGACGGAGCTCAGCTTCTCCCTGACTCAGCTGGCTGCTGCTCTGGCTTGATTGGTTCTCTTTGTCTCTCGCTTCTGCTCTGCTGCCCTTTTTCAGAGCTGCTGCCAACCCTGCCTCTTCAGCAGTTTCTAGCTCCAGCAGCTCTTGGCTTCTTGCCCCATGACCACTCATCTCTCTTCTGCTACTTAATTTGCCTCTGTTTCTGTCTTCTGTTCCACCCCAGATTTCCCAGTCCATATGGCATTTCCTATCTAGCAAGTAACAAGTACAGGTATTTTTGCTCTGTTTAACTCAGATTTGCCCCTTTTTTGAGGCAGTTGAATCCTATTGTCTGAAACTGCTCATGATGAAAGGGCCAGTGGACAGTACTTAATTATTGTGCTTTTCCTCTACTCCCCACATATAACTGTGCCTTTTGTGAGGTCCATGTCTTAGTTTAGAGTGAGGATCTTAACTTTCCTCAAGGTTGCAGCATGGCCACCAGCTTAACCTTCTGAATGGGGAAGGTCTTAGCTCTTCACAGGGCTTCTGCTGATTATTCCTGGGGCTTGCTATTAAGGATCCAAGAGCTCCACCAGGAAGCGTGCATTAGATTCACAGAAAACTCCTGGTTGGACTGTTGACTGACAACTGACAGCAGATCTGATTCCTAACCAATATGCTCTGAAGACATCATTTGAAGGTGAGGATCCTGACTCCTCACCAGAACACTTTTTCCATGTTAAAATAATATAATCCAGGGACATTAAAAAAATTGCATGAAATTCTGGTTCCCCCTCAAGTATTCGAAGAGAATTAGATGGGTTAGCAATCCTTTCTGTAGCCGTGCTCCAGCAATGTTGAGACAGCTGGTACCAGTGTGGGAGAGAAGCAGAGCCTCACGCATTAGCACCACCTGTCCCACAACAGGTTTCAGCAGTAAATTAAAGCTGAAGGAGTTGAATATGAGAAATGCCATGTTTAGGAAGATGGGGCCATACCCCAATGTGAGTGAGCTTGACCATAAGTTGTGCTGGAACCCCGTACCTCATACTGGAATCTCCAACAATGTAAGCTAGTGGGAGAATGGGGAAGCCAGGATTAAAAGGAACCAGGGATGGTTGCCAAGGCAGATGTTGGCACAAATTATGGTGCTCAAAGGGATATGGCCATCTCAGAGTGATCTGGGCTGGCCTAGATTCTCTTTCAGGAGTGGACGGGGGTTGGAACAAGGGGAGGACAGTCCAGTCTGGGAGTTTTTGCACAGAAATGAAAGGAGTAGTGGCACTCACTATCAGGTGGAGAGCTGAGTTGGTTCAAAAGAGGACTCTGGCCTTCATCAAAGAATACGAATGGCAGGCACAGCTCCAGCTCCCACGCGAGAATAGGGGAAGGGCATGGCAAGGTGTCAAGGCCATACACAAGAGATAAGGGTGTTATAGCAAGATTTCAGAAGAGTACAGAAATAAATTCTCAGTGGGCAAACAGCTGGTCCATGAGATAGCAGCTGAGAAGTGGAATCAAGACAATTCTCGATTATAGTTCCTTATATAAGGTCTTTCTTGATTGAGATTGAATCAGTAAGTGGGTGGAACTGAATCTTCTGGTTGAAGGAACTAATTCCTGCAGGAGAAGGGAGCTGTGGGAGCTGTGGAAGCGGGGACTGGTGTAGTGCTGTGGTGAGACAGGGTGACCAGCCTCCCTGGTTCACCTGGGACTAAGGGGATTCCCGGGACACAGGCCTCTGAGTTGTAAGACTGAGACAGTCCTGTTTTAACTGCTGGTCACTCCATGATGAAATGTATTTGACAGTCTTGGTCAAATGCTTCCTCAAGTGTTGCTCAGGGCTAAATATGAAAAAAACCCACCTCTTTATGTTTATACAAAATGTGGGTTTGGTAGTGATTTTGGTGAGAAACTAATAGTCCCTTACTTTTTACTGACATATTTCATCATAGACTCTTAGAACTTCAGAATTGAGATGGAAATTAGATATCATTTCATCTTTCACTGTATGAATGATATAACTGAGAGCCAGGGAGATTAGACAAACAATTCAAGTTTGGGTAGCTACTTAAGGGCATAATTTCTTGAGTCCAAATTCTTTGCTTGGCCACATCAATTTTTTCTGCGTCACCTAAAGTTTCTTCTTTTTCCTTCTTGGTGAGAGCTTTTAAGAGAGTAGATCCTAAGAGTTCTCATTACAAGGAAAAACCCATTATTTTCTTTTTTGTATCTGTATGAGATGATGGATGTTAACTAAACTTATTGTGGTAATTATTTCACAATATATGAAAGTTAAGTCATTATGCTGTACACCTTAAAATTACACAGTGCTGTGTGTCAATCATATCTCAATAATTGGATTGGTGGCTACCACAGGGGAAGGGGAGAGGGCTGAGAGTGTAAGCGGTAATTAGGCACATTGTGTGGTGATGGATGGTAATTAGTCTTTGGGTGGTGAAGATGATGTAACCCACACAGGAATCAAAATATAATGATGTATACCTGAAATTTATATAATGTTATAAACCAATGTTACCGCAATAAAAAAATTCTGAAAAAAATTATATCTCAATAAAACTTGAGAAAAGAAAGAAAAGAGCCTTTGCCACATAAAGGCTAGTTGTTCTTTTTTTCAGTTAGATTCAGTCAGCCTCCTTCAGAATGTTATACTAAAATCTACCATAGAACTCTACAGATACCAGTTTGTAATGTTTCTATGATAATCATTACTGTTACTACTAATAGCATGCCTTCCGTTGCCACCATTACTGTAGTATGAAGGGAACAGGAGGCAATGTTAGTTTCAACCCCAATTTCTTAGGTGGGTTGAAATGAAGAACACTGTGAATTCAAGGAGCCTAACAATAGTTTTTAGCTGCTAGATATCTCTTCATGGGCTCTACTGTAAATCTCTGAGATGGATACTTAGCTCTGGGGTCAGTCAATTTACTCTTTCCTACATGTTGTCGTTTTGGTTACTGCCTGAGCTGTCAGTCATGTTCAGGCCTTGCATCCCTGCAGTAGGAAAAGAAATAGAGTACTGCCCAGTGACCATAGATTTGACCCTGTAAACTGTTACAAGAGAATTCCATACCCGCAGACTGAGTGAAAATGACAAATAACTCTTTAAGCCTCAAAGTTTAAAGGAAAAGATCGATTTCAACTGGAGGGTCAGCCTGTCATTTTTCATTCCGTATATTGTCAGATCCATCATGTCTAACATACCCAGAGAAGCTCCTAGGGGATGGTCTGCTACTGAGAGTCACAAATAGAAGAATGTTTTGAAGAGGTCCAGGGATAAGATACATTCATGCTTTAAACGTGCTTCAGGTGAGTTCTGGAGAAAAAAACAGTCCAGATTCTTCACTCCTTGAAATTTACTCTAGAAGACTATCTTTGAAATAGTTTCTTGGTATTTCATCTGGCCCTCTTCAAGGCTGGATTAAGAATAAATTTGATCTGAGTTAAAATTTGAAAATATAAATTCATATTTTGACCTATAACATTACCAAATGACAGCTTAAATAATTAAATATCAGGGGGCCCCTGTAGCATAGTCATTAAGTTTGGCATGTTCTGCTTTGGTGGCCTGGGTTTGCAGGTTCAGATCCTGGGCATGGACCTACATCACTCATGAGCCATACTGTGGCAACAACTCACATATAAAATGGAGGAAGTTGACACAGATGTTAGCTCAGGGCTAACCTTCTCAGAAAAAGAAAAAAAAATTAAATATCAGGTTAAATAATTACATATCATCATCAATGATTTTGTTTTTGTTTATACATCACAGATTTAATTTGGTTGAACTGGCTGACTTATTTGCTTAAAAAATGCCCTGACTATTTTGGAATTGAGTAGATACTATTTTTGTGAAAAAAACTTCTCATTGGTCTCAGGAAAAATACGCATTTTTGGAATATTGAAGGAAGAAAATGGTTGTTGCCAGAGGTCCAGAAACAACATATCTGGGACTAAAAATGTATTCCTCCATAATAGCATTGAGTCATAGAAAGGGAAATTGATGTTTCAAAATTGAATGGTTCATTCCTAGAATTCTGGGGGATATTTTTCTAAACCAACCTGGAAGTTTACCTTAGTATTGCAAATCTCCAGGTAGTTCTAAAATGTCCCATGAGGACCAGTAGATAATCTCTCATAGGAGTTTTCTTCCTTTTAATTTGGTTGGTGTCACCACTGTCATGCTTTTACATAAGCACCAAGTTCAATGTTATATAATTGGTAATTGCCAAGATCTTCAGGCTTCAGTAAATATAAAGCCTATTAAATACAAATGAAGTGAGGTTTGTTGCATTTGCTACTTAATAAATGTTTAGCTTAAAATAGTCACCTTTGTTTTCTGGTGTAAAAGATTTTGCACGTACTCGTCGAAGACAGTTAAAAATTAGCTTCACGAGAAGATCAAATTTAGATGGTAAATAAACCCACGTTGGAACTAGGAGATTGCTTACTCAGAGTGAGAGTTTTTCTCTATAATATATTGTTTTCAATAAATAATCAGTCCCTACATTAACTATTCCAATATTCATTCTGGAAGAAAACATAATAAAACATATCTTGTCAGGTTAAGAAGCTCCTGAATCAACCTTTGGAAGACAAAGTGGAGCTTCTGAACAAACAGGTTATATTATGTAGGGCAATGCCAGCAGGGAAACCTAATTATGCTTTCTTCCAGCATGTGATAATATTTGCCATGAATTATTGTGGGCAAATACTTGGGACGGCAATCAATAGTGTAATTTTTAGTATAGTCTCATTGTGTGATGGTTCTTTTGCTTTTCTTTTGTGCTTAAGAATGCCTACTGTTGGGGCCAGCCTGGTGACAGGGTGGTTAAGTTCACACGTTCTGCTTTGGAGGCTTGGGGTTTGCTGGATCCCGGGTGCGGACCTACACACCACTTATCAAGCCATGCTGTGGCAGGCGTCCCACATATAAAGATAGAGGAAGATGGGCATGAATGTCAGCTCAGGGCCAATCTTCCTCAGCAAAAAGAGGAGGATTGGTGGCAAATGTTAGCTTACGGCTAATCTTCCTCAAAAAAAAAAAAAAAAAGAATGCCTATTGTTATCATTTTCCTTAATTTGATTCAACCCAAATTTGATTCTGTAATTTTATCAAGAATAAATTCCTATCTAATCAGTAAAAAAAAAAGTAGGGAGAACACATCCCATGGTTTGGCCATGTGCAAATGGGCAGCACCTTCTTTTGTGGACACAATGAAGCTTGGAAACTTTTACATATGTTCTTGTACTGTCACACTGTGTGGGACAGGTAAGCCGCACCCATCCTTTAGCCTCAGTTTTCCCATGTATAATAGTGGAAAAACTGTAGTTAATGCTACTTTTAGAAGAATGCTCAAAAAAAAAAAAAAGCAGGAAAACTGCCTAAAGTAATGTAAAATATTATGGCCAGGTTTTATGCACAAAAAGATTCCCAAAAGTTTTCATTTAAATCTACATTATGCGAATAGAAAATTTAATTCACTAGGTGAACTGATTATTTGAAACTTCATTGATTAATCTTCCTATAGAACAGATTTTCATATCTCATGCTTGCTTCGGGCATAGCAGAGACCATCAATAAAGCAGTAGACTTAATGAGGGTATATAGAGTCTCTATATTTTGTGATATGAAAATCTGTTTTATAGCCAAAGTTTAACCATAAGTACTTGGGGCCATTTTGAGAAGAAGTTGACCAAAATAAAGGAATTCTTCCTCTGAAATGATTTCACAAAATTTGTCAGATTCACTTGAATGTGCTTCTAGACCAAGGCTTCTGCATAAAATTTAACAGAGAAGTAAAATGCCTTTGTCAGTTAGTTGAGTAGTCTGATATACGGTGCACACCTTTCCACTACTTTTGATATATAATCAATTTAAGGTCACCAGAAATAGCTTCTAACCAACAGTTTCATTCCAACATTTCCGACATGCACAGTCTAAAATGAGACCGAGATAGTATGATGATCACTTTCTGATCTACTAATGCTATTTCCTCTATAAAAAGCATCCTTTATGGGCAGATAATCTGTGACAAGCTTGACTTTTTAAGGCAATTTCTCAAAGCGACAACTCTGTCATACCTAATTTATTATTTTTTCTCCCCAATTTGTATGACTGGAATCAGCTTGAATATTTAGGTCTTCTTGCATCAAACAAGATGTTCTAACATTAATGAAGGATAATTTTATTTATTTCAATTTTAATTTTATTTAATTTTTAAATAGGCAATATATTCACAAGGTTCAAAATTCAAAAGGCATAAAAGAACATTCACTGAAAATCCTTTCTTCATCCATGCCTTTCAGCCACCCAGTTTCACTTCCTGGAGACAACAACGTCACTAATTCCCTGGGGATCCTTCCAGAGATTCTACGCTGCATATACAAAACTACACATCTATAGATATAGACATACTGTATGCTGGGGATCCTCTAATGAGCCATGTAGAATGTGCCTGACAGTTGCCTGGTTTCCCATAGGGTGCTAACTCCCTTGTACTTCCAGACTGTGCATGCATCAGAATGGCTCCGTGGTCCACAGGTGTCCCAGGCAGTAGCAACAGGGAAGCCCTGGGGCAGAAAGTGGTAGGTGGGTGGTACAGCCGAGGAGAAGGGCCACAAAGCTACACTTGTGCTGATGTGGCTCTTGAGTGACAGCTTAGTAAACAAGCTGAGCCTAGAGGACGTGAGAAAATGTACAAGAGATGTCCAACACATAGACCTTTTGGTATGAGTATGCCCAGACCATCGAAATTAAAGAGAGGGCAGAAACAATGGTTGGTACTCAGATTCTAGCACAAACTCAGATTTTAATAAATTCCTATAATTCTAGAAAGAGACTCATCTTGAGAATTTTCTCTCCATGGATTGGCTTTTCATGCTAGGCTTTCCTAGTAGGCTTTTTTTTTGGTAAAATATACATAATATAAAATTTATCATTTTAGAGGCTGGCCCCGTGGCCGAGTGGTTAAGTTCGCATGCCCCGCTGCAGGTGGCCCAGTGTTTCGTTGGTTCGAATCCTGGGCGCAGACATGGTACTGCTCATCAAACCACGCTGAGGCAGCGTCCCACATGCCACAACTAGAAGGACCCACAATGAAGAATATACAACTATGTACTGGGGGGCTTTGGGGAGAAAAAGGAAAAAAATAAAATCTTTAAAAAAAAATTTATCTTTTTAGCCATTTTTAAGTGTACAGTTCAGCGGCATTAAGTATATTCACAGTGTTGTGCAACCTGGTAGGCTTTTGTAGAAGAAATGCATGGTAGAAATTTTCAAATTTTTACTCATATTGAAAGTTGCTGTTTTATGCCTTATTTTTTTACTTAGAGCCCCAATATAAGAGAAAAACATATGACTTTGAAGCCTTTCTGTGAATTTGCCTTCTGCAGATCCAATGCCATGAAAAATCACTGTGTTGTGTCTGGAATTCTGAAACTCCAGAAGTGGCTGAAAAATTCCAGGAGCAAAAATGGCTTAAAATGACCATTATTTTACTCATTGTTTTGAGAAGACCATTTTTTTGAAGTGTCTGGACACTCATTATTGGTAGTTGGTAGGCCTTGGCAACACCAGACTGTGCGAAGATCTTTCTCTTAAGCCAAAAGAGTGGTTGGTTGATCCATGACAGGAGTTGGCCTTGGATAAACTCTTTATGAACTACTACACCAACTTTGGATTGTGTTGATGATGACTGGTAGAGATAAGGTGTGTCTTTTGATTATATAAATCTTAGAAAAGATGTATCTTTCGACCTTTAAGTGAGTTTGGGCACTGTTTTTCTCCTTTAAAGTTAAAACATGCCTTGGGAAAATATCTAGATGGTTTCCAATAATCGGCTATGTCGAGTGCCGTGAATACTTTCTCGAATAAATTCCAAGAATGTGAAGCATTTTCCTTTCAAGACGTATCTGAGCCTTCCTTGCACCAGGATAGATGAAGCTTGTTTCTAACGGTGCCACACTACACATTTGTAAACTCTTATTTCAGTAGTCGAGTCTGTGATTGTTGGTAGACGTACGCACACAAGCATGCGTACAAGCACACATTCACACATACGAACCACTGGTCAAGGGTCTTGACAGAAAATATTTGTCAAATATCTTTTCTCATTATAAATAAGACATTTATCCATTTTGCATGCACAACAATTTATGAGAATTGGGGTAAAATTGAAGGTTCCTATCTTAGTTCGTTTAGGCTGCTATAGCAGAATACCATAGACTGAGTGGCTTACAAACAATAGAAACTTATTTCTCACAATCCTGGAGGCTGGGAAGTCCAAGATCAAGGCACCAGCAGATTC